CTTTTACATCTTTACATCCTTAGTTAAGTTTATTCCTAGGTATCTTGATTTTTTTTGGTGCAATGGTAAATGGGATTTTTTCTGTGAGTTTGAGTTCATTATTGGTGTATAAAAAGAGAATAGATTTCTGGGATTTAATTTTGTATCCTGCTACTTTACCAAATTCACTTATTAAGTCTAGTAGTTTTTTGATGGAGTCTTTAGGTTTTCTGTGTACAGTATCATGTCATCTGTGAATAAGGACAGTTGTACATATTCGTTTCCAATTTGGATGCCTTTTATTTCTTCTTGTCTGATTGCTATGGCTAGCGCTTCCAGTACTATATCGAACAGGAGTGGTGAAAGTGGGCATCCCTGTCTTGTTCCTGTTCTTTGGGGAAATGGATTTAGTTTTTGCCCTTTGAGGATGATGTTGGCTGTAGGTTTGTCATATAAGGCTTTTATTATGTTGAGGTATGATCCCTCTATTCCCACTTTGCTGAGAGTGTTTATCAAGAAAGGGTGTTGGATTTTGTCAAGTACTTTTTCTTCATCAATTGATATGATTATGTGATTTTTGTCTCTCAACAGAGACTACTTTAATAGTAATACGTCAATAAAGCCAATAAAGTAGATCAGTTTTTAACAGAGTAAAAAGGAAGGATAGAGAAAAGCTAAAGCAGGAGAAGAGAATCAGGATGAAAATGGGAAAAGTGAGGAAGAAAGTGTTAGCATAAAGGAAAAATTGAGATAGAGTAAAATAATGATTAAAAAAATAAAAATAGAATGTAGAACACTACTTCACAAAAATAAAAATGTAAAAAAATGGTAAAAAAAATAAATAAAAGTAATAAAAAATAAAATAAAGTGAAAAAAATATTTAGTTTCTTAAGTAAAAGATAACAAAAAAGTGAAGTAGTGAAGTTCATTAGCTTCATCGGAGCTTCAATGTCCCATGGGGGCTGGTTTAAGACCCCTCTCTGCTGTTCTGCCTGCCACATCTCAGTTTCTTGTCAGATAGCACAGTGTTGAAGTTTCCAGTGATCCACCGCTCCTCTGCCATGACCTTGGTTTCAAGCAGACAGAATCAATCTGTCCACTTTGTTTTTCTGCCTGCTTTTAGTTGTTTTACACAAGTGCCTATTTCTGACATGGCCCCTAGGTGGCGGTTTTTCTGTATTAGTTTCTGGGATCAAATGGCCCCTCAACCCAGTCCCCCAGGGCTCCCTGGGGATATTTAGAATCTTCCTTTCCCTGCTGCGCTCAAGACTGGGTGCGGCTGCGCTGCTAGGAGGAGCCTTGTCTTCAGGAGAAAAATGTTCAGTATTGAGGGATGGACTGTCCCAGAGCTGGCTTCCTGCTCCTCTCTCTCTATTCTGCTCCCCAGTTTCCACAAAAACCACCTTCCCCTGCAGTCTCGGTGAGTGTTTTTTTATCAAAAGATCCTATGCACTGGGTTTAGCAAGTAAAAAGTTTAAAAGACAGCAACCATGCCGCCTTGCGCCTTTCTTTCCCCCGGCACTGTGCAACTGGTAGAGAACTTTAGGCTGCCTTTCTGGGTGCAGTATCCCATGGCTGTGGGCTTTGATCTAGAGTCCTCCACTGCCAGCAGCCCTGTGGACTGCTACATTTGAAGGGCTACACTGATCTCAAGAGAAGGCTACATTTGAGGGCTACACTGACCCCAAGAGACAGGGATTTGGTGCAGTGCATTCTCCCTCTGAGACTCTAGTCCCGGCTGCACACATTTCTCCCTCTAGCTCAGATCCCCAATCTCACCTCTCTCCAGGTGATCTCTGACCTTTCCGTCCATGGATTACCTCACCAGCTGTGTTTAATTCCCCAATTTCGGGTGGTTGTTATTCGATTCAGCTGTTTCTTCTGTCTCCTCTGTTAGAAGGCACAGGACCCATCCGTCTATTCAGCTGCCACCTTGTCTGCCCCTGGACAAACTTTTTAGGCGCCTGTGGCCAGTTAGGCTGGAGTCTTAGTGTTCATGGGTTCGTAGCTGAGGCAGCTGGTCCTTGGGCGTTGTGGCTGCAGGGTCCCGGGTGGTATCTGAGGTCTCCCAGAGTAAAGGTAAAGCTAGGCTTCCTATCACAGCCGCTCTCCTCTTCAAGATGGCACGGTCTCTGTGGCAGAGCCGGCCGCTCCGGGAGAGATTGCAGTGGTGGTAGAGGCTGCCTGGCCAGGGGAGCCTGGTCTGCCAGTCCCCAACCATCCCATGGAATATAACTGTCCCTCACTCACAAATACACTCCCTGCACACCCACGCACTCACCTTTCACTCTTGCACTCACTCACACTATCTTGCTCACTGCTGTCCTGTCGGCTGCCGTCTTCCCTGTTCCCAGTTGTAGCACTTTCATTTAGCCAGCTTTCCAGCAGTTCTGGATGATGGTGGTTCTGCATTTTAGTTGTAATTTTGATGTTGTGAGAGAGGTGGCAAGTACAGGTGTTTACCTACACTACCATCTTCAGAGAGCTGTATCCATTCCTACTGTTCTTTCCTGCAACATCTTAAACCACCCTTCAACTAAACACAGGTGAGGCTGTATGCATTTAAAGCCCAGCTTACTTATCTGTTTCTCACTTTTCCCACTAGCTCTCTATTCATTTCCCTCCGGGTCTTTTTGGACTTTACCTCTGCTGAAAAAATCTTTCCTGACTTGCCTCTGCCCCAAAGACTGGATTAGGGTTCTCACCTCTATGCTTATCCCTGTCACAGCATCTAGCACAGTGTATTGTAATTGTATGTTTTCCGGCCAGTTTTCTCCTTACAACATAAAAGCCTCTTCCATGTGCAGGACACATTGCGAGTTAGATGTATATTAGTTTTTTTTTGGGTATTTACTATATTCACCTAGTTCAAAGCCCAAAAAGTATTAACAAACATATATCAGTAGAGACTTGAGCACATGGTCTCTTTCTGTCATTAAGGATATTTGGGGGACAGGATATACACATGAATACATGTGGTATTGACTCAGTGATGTCAGTGTGGTATGCCAGGTGAGTTACTAGTTGCTGAGTCAATTAAGGAAAGCTTTATTGGAAGAAGTAGGACCTAGTTGAGTAGTGAGAGAATATGGTATCTTGTGTGAGAAGATAAATAGATGTGTTGAGGACTACTATATGGGAGAAGGAGGAATACAGCAGAAGGGAATGGAGAAATAGGACTTGGAGAAGTACTGGAAGTGGGTGAGAAATGTGGACAAGATGAAGTAGGAAGACAGAATCTAAGAGGAAAATGAGAAATGCTGAGAAAATGAGTCACTCAAAAGGATCACCTTGATACAATGAGAAGAATCTTAAAGAAGGAAGGGGGAGAGTCTATAGAGGACCAATATGAACAGAAAGGCACATAAATAAATATAAAGACACCTTTTAGACATTTGTGGCCTAACCCAAGGCCCCATGGAAAATGGCCACCTTATTCTTCCTTAGCTGCTCGATCTAATTGGACTGCTGTTTCCTATAAGTTGTGACTCCTTTCCTCCAATGGTATAAGTGGTTTCCTTTAAGCTTTCTTTTCATTTGCTAATTCATTTATTGGACCTGCATACTGGCAATATGACTACATATTTATAAAATTCCACTCTAACCAACAGAACTTAGATGCTCCTTTAGAGTCAATTTTAATGAATTTTTGCTTTCTGTTGTGGTAAGACAGGAATCCTGTTGTTATACTTAAGTCATAACTAGTTGGAATTATAGATTATATCGGAGCTCATCAAAAGAGTTTTACCCAGGCTGTTGTTTTAAATTTGAAAGTCTTTTGATATACATAATAAGAAACTCATTGAAATCTGAAGTTTGTCCTTTTAGGAGCTGAGTATAAAAGAAGACCAATTCAACTATTAGAATGAAGTAAAAATACAGTCATTTCTTTTATAATTAATGTTTATTCAGTTCAGATTTTGAAACCTATATTTAAATATTTTAAAACTGAAATGTTGGAGAAAAATTCTTAGTGGTTAATTACATCATACTTATAATACCGCTAGAAGTAATTTCTGCATTGTTTTGTTCAGGAGAACCAAAGTATTAAATTTTATTCAGTGGTGGTCAGATGGCCCAACCTTTCCGATGAAAAATTGGTGAAATTATTTTTTAGGCTCAAAATGGACTTATGCTTATGAAAACAATGGACAATTTAAAGAACAAGACAGCATTTATATGTAGCAGTTGTTATATATTGAAT